TGAAATATTCCAAGTGTGAAAGTTTTGTCTACTTAAGAATAACAATGAGACAAAAGTAAATTATGGTGAAAAGAATAGCACCACAAAAAGCTTTATAGAGTGTGTTCCTACCAATGAATGATTTAGCTTTTGCAGTAGCTTTATACAGATCACTTAAGTTCAGTAGATGAAAAGCAAATTTGAGTCCCTCGAGTCCTTGCTAATTACACCAGGATGAGTAGCTATGGAAATGTCAATGCAAAATGTGATTGTAATACAGCATTACAACTGAGGCATCCTTTGAAGGCAAATTGAGACCTTTGTGTCTATGGCTCCCAAAACAACTGTAGCACTGCTTCTTTCAGAAAGGATGTAGTGGTGTTTCCCGGTGGTGTTTGTATGCAAACAACAAAATCTGGATGCATGTGTTGTGCTATAGGCATAGCTTGTCTTCACTGCTTGGTTTCTTAACTGACATGGATCTCTCTGTAAACTCAAATTTTTAAATTTTTCTTTTTTGAAGCTCAGGAAGGCTGTGGGAAAAGTGTGCTCTCAGGTGCTTGCTACTGCCAGCCTTGCTCTTTTGAGCATTCTTACACCATTTCAGCCAGTAGAAGATGCTTATTGACTTAGATGAGAGTGCAAGATCAAATCCTGAGTAATATTTAAAAAATGCTGTGCTTTCAGATGTATTTTGACTTGATCTGTCTGTGTGTCTATCCATATCTATTGACTTGATCAAGAAAGGAGTCATCTGAAGTAAGCAGAACTAACAAAAGTCAACCTGAAGTAAACTATTGCAAATGAAATGACAGCTGACGTTATTTCAGTTAGGTTAACAAATGAACCAAAACCATTGAGCATAGTAAATAGTGAGAGTTGAACTTGGACTCAGAAAGGATGTGCTGAGGTGAGTAATTAAATCCTCTGTTTCCTTGTTCCTTTTTGCGCATCCAGGATGGGTGAAGCAATCATTTGAAGACAACTGGAATTTATTTTGCTCAGAGGCAGGGAAGACTTTCTGATAGCACCCATTTATAGCAGTGTTGCATTCCTCATTAATCCCCTTCAGTCTTCATCGCTCTCCACTTCTTCAGTTCAGATCTCTTGCAGCCTTCCTTTTCCTTTGTTTTGAAGGGCTTCGTGAAAAGTGCATCTCTTGTAGGATCTCTGCATATAATTCTGTAGTAGGAAATTCTCACCCTTGGAAATTGTCAAAAATGTACTGTTTGCAGAGCACTCTTCTTTGATGATTTATACAACAGAGGAGATTGACTGTGTCATTCCACGCTGCAGGATGATCCCAGGAGTATGTTAGTGCCATTAGGCAACAAGAAGTTTTATATATGTTGAGCAGTCTTTCACAAGTGTTTCTGTCAAATTACACCAGAACTTAGGTCCTAGAACAGGAAACACTAATTTGCAAAGAAATAGAAACCTGCTTTGAACAAAGCAAAGGCAGTGAGGCGTTAACCTTACCCTTGTAATTCAAGCTGTAAAACTTGATGGATTTGATTCAAACTGCTGGAAATTATGTGCTTAATCTGGAATGTATTACCTCATAAATTTTACCAGTACCACGGCCAGACCTCATGATGTCACTTGGTGCGTGTTGCAATGGTTTCCTGATAGCAGGATGCTCTGATACCCAGTCTGACTGATTTCTTTCCGTTCTCATCTGGGTTCCTATAGGCTCTGATCAAGTTACCGCTTTATGTTGTTTACTTGAGAGAGACTTATTACCTGCATTGTTCTCAAGTGGAAATGGCTGAAGCTTGTTTCCTGCTTTTCCTTCAGCATTTTTTTCTTTTTAAAAAAGCAAAGTTCCATTTGAACTGATGTAATTATTCTTTTGTTGTACGTTGTAGCTTAGGCATACACAGTGTTCAGTGATCACGTCCTTGCAGTAAGCCATCCATGTCGGTGAGAAATCCTCTGCCCCTTGTTTGTGCTGGTCTGAGGCAGTCTCCTCCGAGGTGATCTGGCTGTGGGTACTCTGCAGTACGTGGAGCCATCCTGGACTTCCCACATGGTCCGCAGGCCTTGGTCACGCTTTCCTCTGCAACTCTCCAGCATGCTCTGATTACCGCTCATTTTGTGTGCCACGTCTGACCGTGCTGGCAGGCTCCCTGAACAGTGGCTACTCCCTCCACATGCTGGCAACATGATCTCTGTCAACTCTGAGATGTGTTAGTGTGAAGGTACTGGGTCCCAGGTAATGATGAGAGGTGCTTAGTTGTCTGCGTGGTATAGCAGGAAGAATGTGTGTCATGTGTAATATAAGGTGATTGTGCAAGTCTTGCTGGATTGGCACTGGACACGTCAAGATAGAGCAGTTCAACTTGGTGATCCCTAACTGGCACTAGAGTATGGTCCTTGTAATGACGCAAGTCTTGCTGGAGTGGCACTGGACATGTCAAGATAGAGCAGTTCAACTTGGTGATCCATAACTGGCACTAGAGTATGGTCCTTGTAATGAATTTTGCTGATGCGCACTAGGCCTTTAACCACAGGGCCTCAACTGATTTTCTGCAAATCTTAGGAGAGAACGCACTAGGCCTTTAACCACATGGACTCAACTGATTTTCTGCAAATCTTAGGAGAGAGCAAAATAGACTTCCAATGTGGATGACTGGGGTGGGGGTGTCAACACCCGGTTTTGCTCCTCAGTGCTGTTTTTATTCAGTGGTATAGATGCAGCCAGTAAATACGAGGTGTTCCTCTGAGAAAATGATGAGCTTGTAAGGCTTGATGGTGGTTCCCTGTGACCTCCTATCTTCTGTCCTGACAGGCTGTGTGGGAGACTGGTGCTGGATTTGATTTCTAGCTTAAGTGCTAGTGTTCTGGGGAACCTCAGCGTGTCACTCTTGAGTTTCGGTTACCCTGTTCCGAGAGGGAAGGGCATAATGGCCTCTCTTTGTACAGTGCTTTCAGATCTGCTAAAAGGTGTTGTTTAAGGTATTGCTGCCTTGTGACAAAGGCCTACAGACAGGTGTGACAGCTCAGAGAGTCTGTGGAATTAATAAGTATAGCTAGGTGGGTAAATTGAGGTTCTTAGTAGTATCATAATAACCAACTTACCTATGCTTGAGGTAAGTGGTGAAGTTTTCTGCTGGTAAAAACCATTAGGCTTTTTTTTTTCCCCCTTTTCTCTGTTTTGTGGGTTATGACCACTTGCAGGTGACTCTAGAAAGCATCACTTAACTGTTGTCCCCTGTTTTAGGACTTAAGATGCTCATGTTGATCTTTATCTCTCCTTGTCCCACTCTGTCTCACAGTGGTTTGTGGCTTTATACCTTCTACCATACATATGAAATTTGTTACTGAGAAATGATCTGTGACTGTGCAAAGACACACTGACATTGAGTCATCTTCTGAATTAGATATCCCTGAAATTTCAGTGGGCTGGATTTGAGATCTGAAGAGGATGCTTCTGTCTCATCAACTCCTTCATCCTGGTGTTTAAGAACATCAGTTGTTTGTCCAAAAAAAGTGTTTTGAAGTGACAGTACAGGCCAGTTCACTGGGTTGTATCGCCATATAAAATAAAAGGAGGTGGAGTGGAAAAGACAATGAGGAAGATCGTCCCTAGATAAAAGGCTTCCCTTAGCCCTGTGTGTTTTTTTTTAAAAAAAGAAAGTTCTTGTGACAGAGCTCTTGGCAAGAGAACAGAAGAGTGTGAACATCTTTGCAGTGGAGAGCAGAGAGGGTTAAGGACTGAGATCAAAAGGAACAAGCAGGGCTGAAATCCTCCACTGTGGAGGATCAGGCTACACCCTTCCACAGTTGGTTGATCAAATGGAGAGTGCTGCTTCTGGAGCTTGATATGGCAGGAAAAACCCTTCTCATTTCAGGGCAAAACCAGCAGGTTTGTATGGGTAGGCTTTGCATGGCATTTCCTTGTTCGCTCACATCTTTAGTTAATGGCAGCAGTCTGTGAGAAGTTGATGGGCCAGCCTGCGTTTTTCTTTCCAAAATCAGAATTTAAGCAGCTGATAGAAACTTGTGGGAGCTTACAGACAGTAAGCAGTGAGATCGCTTCTCAATAGTGAATGATAAGTGACTTGCCCATCTATGAGGGAGCACTGTGTGCTCCTGCTGGATTCACGGTGTTGGTTGGAGGGGAGCTGCTGCTGTGCACAGAAACTGCCCTTGTGCTGGTAGCCTCCTGGTCCTGCTGTGTGCCAGGAAGAATTTCGTGCACACCCTCTTTGGTGATTGCTGTTGAAGTTATTTACCACATTGCTGGGGCTTCTGAAGAGGTCAGCAGTAGGTTCAGACTGATGATGAGACAGACTTGCTTAATCTTAGGAAAATCGGGGAGTTGATTTGAGATGTGGGCTCTAGTTTTGAGAGTGGGATCAGGATAGCGTAGTACTTGGACTCTTTGATTTAGAGATCCTAAATACCCTGAGCATATGGTGTAGATTGTTTGGTTGTTTTGGGGTATTTTTTTTCCTTTCTGGAGTCTAATAATTCCTCAAACAAAATGGTGTTTGACCAAGATCAAGCAATAGTGTTTGGCAGTAACTGATGTAGTTGCAATTATTAGACTTCAGGCTTATGAAAAATGCAGAGACTTCTACCTGGCAACATGTGCATATTTTTAGAATCAAGTCTTGGTGGTGCATCTGAAATGAGTAGCTTCTTGATCACGAGGAGGTCAGGAGCAGTTCAGTGTTCCTGACACGACAACCGAGAATCAGAGTCATCTCTGGGAAACAGAGCAAGTTAATAGTCGTTGGATGTCCTGTGAATTTTTTTCCATTGAGAAAAAGTTATGATAATTTTTTTCTTTCTTTTTTACAGCAATGCTGAGTGACAATAACTCTGCGAAGCAGAAAAGTGATTGTTCACCTCCTGTGCAATGGTGTAAGGTGGCTGTACATGAAGATGAGAAGACCAACCTGGTTTTTAAAAGGTACTCACAAGTAAGTGTCTTTGTCATGGCAATATAGAGGTCACTTGCACTACCCTAGCCTGGGCAGTTACAGAAAGGATGCAAAAATCGAGGGATGAGAGTGCCACAGGAGCTGAGTGGAGGTTAGACACGCAGCTTTCCCTGGGGCACCTAAAATGCTTTGAGGAGCCTAGGCTCTCTCATAGTAGTAGTGCCTGTTCTCCCAAGCCAATGTGACATCCCAGTACTTCATTCACAAGTATATCCAGTCTCTTGTATCCAGGTAAGTAACAATGTCGAGGCTTTCGTATAGTCTGATAAATGAAGGGCAGCAGATGTTTAGTGGATATTTTGGAGAGTTGTTTCCTCATAGTTAATTTGTTTATGAAGACTCCTAGAGTGTTCCATCACAAAATCTTAATTACTCCATTGCTTGTAGTTTAACATCAATTTGGAATTAATGAGTGTGTGCTAGTGTACATCCAGAACCCTATTTAAACTAGGAAGCTCACTACTGTGATGCCTCCCTGGCACGTGATTTTTTTTTTTAGGTCTTAACAGATTTGATTTTTTTTTTTAAGCTTTATATCCACTGGAGTTATGAGCACCTGAGTGGTGCAGTGCCAGCTGAATCCAGAGATACCTGATAAATCTCTGTGGAGGAAAACTAACTTCATTCATCTGCTGTGAATCCCCTGTTTCTGCCAGTCACCTGGTTTCCAGGAGGTGCAGCCTAACATGCTAATAAATCCCTGTCAGTGCAAAATCCAATTTAGTTAAATCAAATACAACAACAGTGCTGCTTTTGCGGTGGCCAGCTTGTTTGTAGCACATACTGCAAATTGAGTGCCAGGATCACACCTATTAGCCTGTATAGTACAAGCTTTTTTAAAAAAAATAATCTTGGAAACCTGTATTAACTTCATCTGCAAGAGTTCCAAGAAGCACTGAATGCTTAGTAGGTTGTGTATTTTTTTTTAAGATGTTTAAACAAATGTCCAGTCCTTAGAATCATAGAATCATAGAATTGTTAGGGCTGGAAGGGACCTTCAAAGGTCATCTAGTCCAACCCCCCTGCAAGGAACAGGGATATCTCCAACTAGATCAGGTTGCTCAGGGCCTCATCCAACCTGGCCTTGAACGTCTCCAGGGATGGAGCATCCACCACCTCTCTGGGCAACCTGTTCCAGTGTTCTACAACTCTCATAGTAAAAAATTTTTTCCTAATATCCAACCTGAATCTACCTCCCTCTATTTTAAAACCATTACCCCTTGTCCTATCACAACTGGCCCTCCTGAACAGCCTCTCCCCATCTTTCTTGAAGGCCCCCTTGAGGTACTGGAAGACCGCTATAAGGTCACCCCGGAGCCTCCTCTTCTCCAGGCTGAACAGCCCCAACTCTTTCAGCCTGTCCTCATAGGAAAGGTGCTCCAGCCCTCTTATCATCTTCGTGGCCCTCCTCTGGACCCTCTCCAACTGGTCCATGTCCTTCTTATGTTGGGGACTCCAGAACTGTACGCAATACTCCAAGTGAGGTCTCACGAGGGCAGAGTAGAGGGGGAGAATCACCTCCCTCGACCTGCTGGCCACGCTCCTCTTGATGCAGCCCAGGATGCGGTTGGCCTTCTGGGCCGCAAGAGCACATTGCCGGCTCATATTCAGCTTCTCGTCCACCAGTACTCCCAAGTCCTTCTCCTCAGGGCTGCTCTCGATCCATTCACCACCCAGTCTGTATTTGTGCCTGGGATTGCCACGACCCAGATGTAGGACCTTGCACTTGGCCTGGTTAAACTTCATGAGGTGGGTACGGGCTCACCTCTCCAGCCTGTTGAGGTCCTTCTGGATGGCATCCCTCCCTTCCAGCGTGTCGACGGCACCACACAGCTTGGTGTCATCGGCGAACTTGCTGAGGGTGCACTCCATGTTTCCTTAGGAAACCGTAGGAAGTGAAAATCAATAAGGCTCAAACTACATACTTGAACAACACCCACAACTCTAACCAAATAATGATGTAATTTTTGCAAATTGGTTTAGTCATGAAATGAGCCAAGTGAATATTTGGAGATCAACAGTGAGATTCTTAGGAATAAGAAAAGAGTAGATCAAAAATGTGTATAGTCTAGATTACTCATTTTTAAAGTGTTTTTCTTTTTCTTCTGCATGTTTTGGGGCTGTAAATAATGAAATTAGGCTTCTCAAGATAAACCTGAGCATCTAAATTCTGCATCCTAGCCTGCCAGTGAGTTGAAAGTTTTGCTTGTGAGTGATGGCCATTGACTGAAAATCTTGCAATTTGAAGTTCCATCCCTGTTTTAACTTGAATGAAAATACGTATTTCAAAATAAAGTTGCCTTTTAAATTAGGAAAATAGAAGTCACTTTTAGTTTCTTTACGTGAGGAGAGTTATTTGACCCATCAGAGATGCATTTAAAGTATATGATGCAGGCATAGAACTGCATGAATCCGAGCGTCAATGTGCAACACTTTCCTTATCGAAGCATCCATGTATGTTGGTACTTCCCTGTAGATAGCTCTGAAGAGTTGGGAAAGACTTGCAGTGAACAAAGCAATGGTTTTTCTTGAGTTGAATTGAATGCAAGTATTCACCTGAAGTTCTTAAAATACCTTAAATTTGTTTAACAATACTCATTTAACAGTTGATGGATTGCTGGGAAAAAAGATGATTTTTTTTTTTTTTCTTCTCCTGTCTCTTACTTCTACACCCTCCTGTTTGTTTTTAGAATTTTTGCATTGTTTGTGATTGGAGGGTGCTTCCTTTATATCCTCATATTACGTATGGGCCCTGAAGAATGTGACAGAACAAAAATGCCATATGTGGACTCCGATCGTGCAAAGGTTGGTATTTTTTGCCTTTTTTTTTTTAACTTGGCTTAAAGTTATTAATCGACAATATAATAATTATAAGGATCTACAACAAAGAACTTGAATGTTGAAATTATCCTTTTGAAGGAAAATATATTTTGCTTCATTTCATGCCATAGAATTTCTGTTTTTTTTTCTTGTGGAGTGACAACAGAACTGCATAGAGAAACTGGATTTTTAGGGGTAAAATGAAATAACTATGACTGTTAAGAAAAACATTTGAAATGGACATGTCATCATACTATTGTGTCAGCACAGATGACACTGGCAATGAAAAGTAATGTATTTAAAAAAACCTGCCAAACCCAACACATGAAACCAAAGGCTTATTTTTACCTAAGCCAGTTCCCCAGTCTGCTTTGCCTTGTAGTTGCTCAGTTGTTTTTGGAATCACAGGGTGAGGATGCAGCCTTTGATTCATTTATTTATTTAAAGTAGCAGCTACTTACTTCAACTACAGTTTTGCATGTGGCTTATAAGCGGATGTAACAGACACCAATAAAGCTTTCTCTTTGTTCTTGCTGACGTTTCTGCCTTTGCTACGTAACCTGTTTGCTGTTTATAACAGTACTTACTTTGGCTTAGATTTGGTACATTTCTGTCTTTGAATGTCTCATTGCTAAGACACAACTTAGAAGCCCTGATTTAAGATAATCTCAGCTTAGCATCACTGCGTGAGTATCCTCTCCCACCTTCTTCGGTGCATGTTTTTCCCCTTCCGAGCCTCTTTGCCTCCGCTTTATTTCTTGTTTGACTTTTTTTTCCTCAGTAGCATATTCTTGCTTCCCAACAACCACCACCTTAAACCAAGCAAGCCTAAAGACTGCATGGACTGTGCTTATTGTTGCCTCATGATTAATTTTGTTTGTGTTAGGTGCAGGATGAGTAAATAATATTGTTCTTTGTCTAGTTAGGTAGTAGCTGATTCCAGACTGTTTGGAGCAGTTGTCAAGTGATTTGCATTAATTTTTACTGATGGAATGCACAACTGTCAGCCTTAAAAATGAGGCTCTTCCAAAGATACACTGACTCTTGATGGCAAGTACAGCATGAAGTTGCTCAGTTGTGCTTTTCTTGGGAAGAAATGTGGTATTTATTCCCAGAGTTGCAGAGACCTTTGTAATGGACGTGTAATAAGGACATATTGCTGCTGGAGCAGGTCCAGAGGAGGCCCACAAAGTTGATCCGAGTGCTGGAACACCTCTCCTATGAAGACAGGCTGAGAGAGTTGGGGCTGTTCAGCCTGGAGAAGAGAAGGCTCTGGGGTCATCTTAGAGCAGCCTTCCAGTACTTAAAGGGGGCCTACAGGAAAGCTGGAGAGGGACTTTTTACAAGGGCATGTAGTGATAGGACAAGGGGCAATGGTTTAAACTGAAAGAGGGGAGATTTAGATTAAATATAAGGAAGAAATTTTTCACTCAAGAGGGTGGTGAGGCACTGGAACAGGTTGCCCAGAGAAGTTGTGCCTGCCCCATCCCTGGAAGTATTCAAGGCCAGGTTGGATGAGGCTTTGAGCAACCTGGTGTAGTGGAGGTTTCCCTGCCCATGGCAGGGGGGTTGGAACCAGATGATCTTTAAGGTCCCTTCCAACTCCAACCATTCTGTGATTCTATGGTGGCAGAGGCAGTTCTGTAGAACAGTCTTATTTAAAGAAAATATAAAATGAAAGCAGCACAACTTCTCTCCTTATACATTCCTATACACGCTTCCTTTTAACAGTACGGAAGGGGAACTGAGTTAGCTCTAGATTTGAATCTTGACTCTGACCCCTGTGTTTGCTCATGGGTTTTTTTTATTACGGTCGAGGAAGGATCACCAGAGTTGTATTGGGGAAGAGAATGTACAAGAAGAATTTATTTTTAACTGATGAAAATTATACCTTTGCCATTTTTCTTCTTTGTTACATCAGATAGATCAGATACTGGCTTACCACTACAGATTTCTATAAAAGGTACATGAGTAGTTGTTTGGGTTTTTTTTTGTTTTTTGGGTTTTTTTTTTGATGAGATGGATCAATATGTAGTTTTATCTGACAGCTTAATCTTTTTATGCAGTATGAAACTGTAGTCTTTTATTTTGGTGTCTAGTATTTGAATGAAGACCTGAAACACTTCCACCTTGCATTCCGTTTAGAGTTGTGTTTTAGTCACTAGGGATACTTCTGGAAGAAGTGTTGCTTCATTTTGATTAGTAATCAAGTCCAGCCTGCCATTTCACAGAACTTTTACCCAGTGGATGTGTCTCTGGTAAAATCCTACCTCAGGCAGAGCTCAGGTCACACAATTGAGCAGCGGAGTAGAGTTCCGCTTGCTGGCTTGCTGCTGAATTAGGTGTGTAGAGATAGGTCTAGATTTTTTTTAATCTGTTTTTGCAAGTAACAGTACAAATGTTCTCAAACGACTCACTTTCACTTACCTCTTTTAGTAGCCTAATTTATTCTTTAGAAAAGCTCCTATCCAGATTTAAGTGATTGAATGGAGAGACATTCCTTTGTAGGTTTTCACCCTGGACAGGTTAGTATCTGCTTTTGAGTGAATGCTTTAAAAGATCTTGTATTTCCATGTTTAAGCTTCCTTTATAAACCCCTGTGTTGGCTAAACTGCCGGTGGTCAGCTGGTGGGTTGCATTGAGAGGGCTTTGTGTGTTCCTGAAGCTAGCTTTCCCGACTGAAATAGTGTATGTTTTGTTTTAGAAAGCACAACAGTATGCCAAGGCTGCATTGCAGGAACAGTGCCGACCTTCTTATGTGAAGAAAGAAATGAGGAAGTTATTTGCAGAGAAATATAGCATGGACATATCTCCCTTTGTAAGAAAAAATATAAATGAAGATGAAGCTTTATTTAAATACGAACCTCCTTTTGGATTTCGTAAGTTCTTCGATAAGCTTAAAAATCTCCTTGAACTCTTACCTGAGCATGATTTACCGGAAGATTTGAAGTCAAAACACTGTAAGCGTTGTGTTGTTGTTGGTAGTGGTGGAATTCTTCGTGAATCAAAGCTGGGTCACTTTTTGAATCAGTTTGATATTGTTATAAGGTACGTATTTTCCATTTAAGGATTCCAGCTACTTCAACTTTACTTTATGAGCTGACTTTGTTTTTTTTGAGGGTAAAGTATCTCCAATATTTATGCAACTGATAAAACTATTTCTGAAAGTGCTTTTGAGAAATTTACTTGTCTTGATGGAATATGAAGTCTTAGAAGCAAAATAAACTATGTTGACAAGACAGGAGTTCAGTGTAATTATTTGTGGACTTTAGATACAAAAAAAAACCATGGGCAGAAATGAGGTAGAAACCAGTGAAATCACAGACAAGTAGACAATTCTGGTTTTATCCATTCATATGTTTAAACTTTCGGAGGTAGGCTTCAGGACTCGCTTTTTCCCTTTGGTTAGTTGGGATGCTTATTTGACGGATTTTTTTTTTTATAACAGCTATTTCAAACAAAATAAAAATTAATTGGTGTTTCAGCATACATTTTGTTTACACACTGTATAGCATGCTTATCTTTCCTTATCTTTACAAGATCAGTGCATGCTTTCTGTGATTACCCATGTTTTCTAATGTCTGAATTAAACAAATACAGGCTGTGTATTCGTGCCTTCCGAACGCTACTGTTTGAACTCTCCTTCTTTGTATTTTGCTTCATGTAAAGTCACAAATAAATTTAACACAAGCATTTTCACAAGTTGCTTTGTAAACTAAGACTTGCTCCTCTTAAAAAGCAAAGACTTGATGCAGTGAGTCAATATCTCTTATGCAAAGGTAAACCTGTTAGCATGTGGAGGGGCAGAGAACTGGCATTAACTGTTCACTAAAATTAGGGCTGGCAGCATGAAGGTCACTTTTCTGTTGATAGAGAAAAGTTTTTAGGACTTAGGCTATTCTGCAGAACTGATGGAGCTGGATGATGCTGTTCTCTTGTCAGCAGTGTGCTAGCATCTGAAATTTTTGGTGAGCCAGAATGATTTAAACTCACAGGATGCGTTATGTTGCATTGAAAGGATAATTCGAATGCCTTTTTGCGTGTAATACTCGTGTATACGTATGTGTGTATATATCAGTATATAGAAAAAAGATAACGCAGGCAACTTCCTATGTGTTTTCTTTCCCTTCCTCTTTTAAGCCTCTCTGAGTTGGCACAAGGCAATAAATACAAAATTTAACAATGCAGTTGTAAGTTACTTTCCTATTCAAGCTTTTCTTTCTGAAGTTTCGTGCTTGTGCTCATTAGTCCAGAAATAGAATTAGCTTCCTCTCAAAGAGAAGGGGTGGATGAGTGTGTGAGGTGAGGAACACGGGGATACTGAGAAAACACTGTAGTCTGGGTCTGTTACAAATCTGTGGACCACATAGAAGTTCTTTGCTTAGTGTCTGATGTTTTAATGAGGTTGTAACCCATATCTTATTAAATACAGTTTCTCTCTGTTGTGTGGTTTGTTTTTTTTTTAGGTTAAATGATGCACCAGTTCAAGGATACACAGATCATGTTGGTGAAAAAACTACTATACGGATGACTTACCCAGAAGGCGCCCCCCTTTCTGAACATGAGTATCCTCCTGCTAGCTTGTTTGTGGCAGTTTTGTTTAAAAGTGTTGATTTCAGTTGGCTTCAAGCAATGGTAAAAAACGAAAGCTTGGTATGTAACATGGCAGTGTTGTGTACCTGTGATTTTTGTCTGTTTTTTTTTTTGTCTAATGCTTGAGAAGCTGGCTCATCTGTTACTTCCTGTTTAATACTGAGCATCTTTTTTGTAACTTCGTGGGGTTTTTTTTAGCTGTGTCTCCTAGTTTCAGTTGATACCAGCATTCATGTTGAAGCTCTGTGCTGACAGTAACACTGTTTTTCTCGCTACAAGTATTAGTGGTTTGCACCAAGCTACATGACATATCGAATGTTTACTAAAATAGAATTAATTTCACGTTAGGTTTAAGTGACTTGTTCAAGTCTGCAGAGCCTGAAATAGAAACAAGATTTCTGGATGCCAGTCTAGTTGTTTTTTTTAACAGCTGGAGTCTGTGCTGCTACAATAGGCATACCTGCAGTTAATGTGTAACTGAGGCATTGCAGTTGTTAGTTCACAGTTGTCTGTGGTTCCGTAATTAAAAGGTTGTTTATTTCTCACTGAATATTTAAAGAAGTGCAGAGATTCCTAAGGAACTGATAGAAGGGTTCTGTGTTTCCAAACTCTCTCTAAATTGGTGGTTTTCACCTCTTTCAGTTTGCAGGCAGATAATTTCTGCAAGTTGAAAACGAGCAGCTGCATTTCTCTGACCACGGATTGAAAACGAATGCTCTAAATTATTGAGATATATTTAGAAGAAAGCCTGACAAATTTGATAACAATTTGGTAACATGCTAGTTTAGGCTTTCCAAGTTCCCTTCTTAATTTTGAGACTTTTTTACAACATGAGAGCACTTAGAATGTCTGTTTAATATTGACCATGACTGTCTACTACTGCTTTAGTACAGAGAGTGTGTGCAGGGATACTGCCTTGTTTTGAATAATCTGAGTATGTTTTGTAGAGGCGAGATTTTCCTGAATGCATGAATTTGCACAAGTTTAAGAACTTCTGCTCCCCGATTTTTATTTTTTTTTATTACCAGGGACAAGAAAATGTTAGTCTATGACCCTCCTTGCAGCAGTGTGGTGATTTTGATGACCAGCAGCTTTCTAACTTGAGTTGAATCCCCGACTTACTCGTTTTACAAGCTACCTGACTGGTTCATATTTTAAAGTTTGGTTTTGAAGAATGACTAGTACAAGGATGGCTTTCTGTATTAGAATTTGTTTTGGAGGGATTGAAAGAGTGATTGCTTTTTGGCATCTGCAATATCCGCTGTTAGTGAGTTACAAGACTGAAGTATGTGCTTCATGAAAAGAGTACCTTTTCTTGTTTTGCATGGCTTAGGAGCAGATCTGCTCATTCCCACCGTCTTCCTTGCTCTGGTGTTTTTGCTGGTGCAGAGAGCCAGTTTTGGGAACTGATCTGGGAATGAGCATAGTGGAGAGAATCCACTGAAGGGCCATGCAGATGCTTAAGCGACTGGAGCTTCTGTCCTATGAGGAAAGGCTGAGAGATGGGAGTGTTTAGCCTAGAGAAGAGAAGGCTTGGGGGGAATCTTGTCAAGTCTCTGAGGAGAGGATGCAAAGAGGATGGAGCTAGAGTCTTTTTGGTGGTGTCCAGTGACAGGACCAGAGGCAATGAGCTCAAACTGAAATGCAGGAGGATCCCTGTGAACATCAGGAAACACTTTTCACTATGAGAATGACTGAGCACGGGCACAGGTTGCCCAGAGCAGTTGTGGAGTCTCCATCCTTGGAGATCCTCAAAAGCCATCTGGACGTGGTTCTGGCCAACCGATTCTAGGTGTCTCTGCTTGAGCAGGGTTGTTGGACCTCTTGACCTCCAGAGGTCCCTTCCAGCCTCAAACCATGCTGTGCTTGTGAACCGAAAACATACTTCTTTTCTCAAATACTAGGCTTTCAGTTGGATCAACTCTGTGCAGGCATTGGTACTTTATCACTGATTCAGAGCATGGGTGGGGAGACAGGACCGTAGCAACCTAGATTTGATCAGTTTAAGCTTCTGTAGAGTTGTGCCTTAAAAGCTTATTAAAAAAATACAGGTATATGTTGCAGCTATATCAGTTTTATCATTTACTTCTGTTACATGGAAAGACTCCTAAAATAAGCATGATTTTGTTGGTTTTTGTTTGGTTGTTTTTTTTTTCCGTTAGCATGTGTCTAATTGACTGTAAGTGGCATGAGATCAGAATCCAGCTTGCTGAGTTTTATGTAAATCCTCTTCTGAAGTGTTAGGTTTATCACTAGGTGGATGCTGTCAAACAGCAGCTGTTCACTTCAAACCCTGAGCAAAATGGTTTAAAATCCAGTGCTTGCTTCCGAATGCCTGGTTAATGTTCGTGGAAAACTGTGGTTCCCTTTCCTGTTTGTTCGAATACTACTGCTTACCCAGTTGTGTTGGGGAAGGTCCAAAGAACCTGTAGGTGCTGGTGGATATGTTGACTGATTAAACACAAACTGCAGTCAAATATTCAGAAGAAACAGCTTTTCCTCTTTGCTGTCCTCTGTGCAATTCCAAATAAGGCTTTCCTCTTTTGGATTAGTCACTTCAGCTGTGCGCTGGTATTCCTGAACCCACCTTAGCTATAAGGATTTTCTTAAAATCAATGATGAATTCTATAACTTGTGTACTGTCTGCCATATGCTTTGCAGTCTCAGAGTTTCCCTTTGCTGAACTATTTTTTTTCTTTCTCTTAGCCTTGGTGGGTGCGACTCTTCTTTTGGAAGAAGGTTGCTGAGAAAATTCCTCTTACATCGAAACAGTTTCGGATTCTGAATCCAGTCATCGTTAAAGAGACAGCTTTGGACATTTTACAGTTCCCTGAACCTAGATCAAAATTCTGGGGTTGGGATAAGGTAAGAGGTTTGGAAACTATAAAATACAAAGTACAATAAGAAACTGAAAAAACTCTTGGGCTTTTCCTTCAATATAGTTTCTCTGTGCAATTTCAGAGCTGGTCTTAAGTAATAGAGAAATTAATGTGCTCTCTCAAGAGACTATTGTATTTTCTTATGTAAATCGAAGTAGGATTTCACTTCACCTTTTTAGATGAGGTGTTATGCCTGTGCATGCTGGTATGAAATGGCGTGCTTTACAAAGCACTCAGATGCAGTAAGACATGAATTCATTCCAGTGCAGTGTGTTCACTCGCACGTTGTTGTGACTGGTGTTAAGTATTCAAAACACGCATTTGATGTATGTCAAATGGGTTAAGAGCAGCCCTGTTAAGCCAAACCAGCAGTCAGCTATAGACAGATGTACCTTCCACTGCAGGGAAAGCAGAGAGAGGATGGAAAATAGGCCAGTGTAAAACGACCTTCCAACTGTTGGAGTTGCCTTGTATTGCCAGTGTGCTCAATAGCAACTGATGGGTGTATCCTCTCTTTATGTCCTTTGCTCCAGCAATAGTATGGAGTGATGAAATGCCTAATTTAATTACACACTGCATTTTTCTTATTTTAATTATTTGTTTGAGAAATTGAATGTCACTAGTTCTCTTGAACTATGAAAAATTCTGAATAAATATTGTCTTTTTACCTTTCATGTGAAAGCATTTAATGGTAGTGTTGTTGCACAAATGTTTTGAAGGAAATTCTCACCTTGGAACATTTATTTATAACAATAACATAACACACCAAGCTACGTATCTTCTAGTTGTATCGTAGTATACTTGCATCTTCATGGGTTATTCGGTGAAAGGTCATATTATGAAGAAGAGTGTTAAGAGAGCCTGTTGCTGAAGACTGAAGAAAGCGTACATCAAGAAACGTCAGCCTTAACTGCATGTCAGGAGTTATTTGAGCATTCAGAGCAAGGGTTCATTTGTTGAACTACACAGTGATAGGGTATCTGGCCTTCACAGAGAAACAATTTAGAGTTGGCAGTCAAAAGTCTTGTTGAAGGCAAATGCTCGAGTCATATTAGTGTTTGACCCTGAAGTTTTTAGTTTCACTTGATCATTAAATTGATTTTTAGTTTTCGTTGTAGTTGATTTTAGTTTTAATTGATTACTTGATTTCAGTTTTAAGTGAGGAGAGGGTATAGACACAGCCATTACATTTTGTAAAGCGTTTATAAAAGTGGCAAAGGTGAAAATACTTGAATTCAGCAGGCTTCTTTTTTTCCCCTCTTTTTAGAATGTACCTACAATTGGGGTCACAGCAGTTGTTCTGGCCACACATTTATGTGATGAAGTGAGCTTAGCAGGATTTGGATATGACCTCGATCAGCCCAGCACACCTTTGCACTATTACAACAACCTCTGCATGGCTGCCATGAACGGACAAACGATGCACAATGTGACAAGTGAAACAAAATTCTTGCAAAAACTGATCAAAGAAAAAGTTGTCAAAGACCTCACTGGCGGGATACATTGTGAATTCTGTGGCAAAGACAGCTAGTGATTGAAGTGCGGCATTGTTTGGATTTGTTAAATTTCCAGAGGTTCAGCTGAAACAACTTTTTCACAGTCTTAAGTAGTTCTTTAAAGTATGTATAAAATGGACATGGAATCTCTGCTGCCTTTTTTGATGTCAAGTTGGACTTTTAAATTTATCTTGATGTCAGTTTTTACTTTGCACATTTTTGTGGATAACTATGTAAATACAAATTGGAGTTGAAAGATACCCATTTCATAGGATGGTTTGGGTTGGAAGGGACCTTAAAGATCATCTAGTTCCAAACTCCCTGCCATGGGCAGGGACACCTGCCACTAGATCAGGTTGCTCAAAGCCTCATCCAACCTGGCCTTGAACACTTCCAGGGATGGGGCAGGCACAACTTCTGTGGGCAACCTGTTCCAGTGCTTCACCACCCTCACAGTGAAGAATTTCTTCCTTACACCTAATTGAAATCTCCCCGGTTTCAGTTTAAAGCCATTGCCCCTTGTCCTATCACTACATGCCCGTGTAAAAAGTCCCTCTCCAGCTTTAATGTAGGGCACTTTAGGTTCCTTGAAGGCTGCTTGGAGGTCTCCCCAGAGCCTTCTCTTCTCTAGACTGAACAACTCCGACTCTCAACCTGTCTTCATAGGAGAGGTGCTCCAGCCCTCGGATCATCTTTGTGGCCCTCCCCTGGACCTGCTCCAACAGCTCCATGTCCTTCTTATGTTGGGAGCCCCAGAGCTGAATGCAGTATTCCAGGTGGGGTCTCAGGAGAGCAGAGTAAAGGGGCAGAATCACCTCTCTCAACCTGCTGGCCACAATTCTTTTGATGCAGCCCAGAATATGGTTGGCTTTCTGGGCTGCCAGCACACATTGCTGGTTCATATTTGAGTTTTTCATCAACCAGCACCCCCAAGTGCTTCCTCAGGACTACTCCCAATCCATTTTCCACCCAGGCTGTACTTGTGCTTGGGATTGCCCCGACCCATGTGCAGGACCTTGCTCTTGTCCTTGTTGAACTTCATGAGGTTCACACAGGCCCACCTCTCCAGCCTGTCAAGGTCCCTCTGGATGGCATCCCTTCCCTCCAGAGTCCACAACACCACACAACTTGGTGTCATCTGCAAACTTGCTGAGGGTGCACTTGATCCCACTGTCCATGTTGCCAACAAAGATGTTAAATAGCACTCGCCCCAGTACTGACCTCTGAGGAATGCCACTTGTCACTGGTCTCCACTTGGACGTCGAGCTGTTGGTTGCAACTCTTTAAGTGTGACTATCCAGCTAATTCCTTATCCACCGAGTGGTCCATCCATCAAGTCCATGTCTCCAGTTGAGAGACAAGGTTGTCATGTGGGACGATGCCAAGTGCTTTGGACAAGTCGGAATAGATGATGTTAGTTGCTCTTCCCTTATCCACCAGTGCCATAACCCCGTCGTAGAAGGCCACCAAATTAGACAGGCAGGATTTGCCCTTAGTGAGGTCGTGTTGACTGTCCCTGATCACCTCCTTATTTTCCATGTGCTTTAATGTAGTTTCCAGGAGGATCTGCTCCATGATCTTGCTGGGCGCAATGATTAGACTGGCTGGCTTGTAGTTCCTCGGGTCTTCCTTTTTTTCCTTTTTAAAAATGAGGCCTATGTTTCCCCTTTTCCAGTCAGTGGGAATTTCACTGGACTGCCACAACTTCTCGAATAGGATGGATAGTGGCTTGGCAACTTCATGTGCCGGTTCCCTGAGGACCTGTAGATGCATCTTATCAGGTCCCATGGACTTGTGCACCTTCAGGTTCTTTAGATGGTCTCAAACCTGATCTTCTCCTACAGTGGGCGGTTCTTCATTCTCCCAGTCCCTGCTGTTGCCTTCTGCAACGTGGTCAGTGTGGCTTGAGCGCTTGCCAGTGAAGACTGAGTTAAAAATGTCATTGAGTATCTCAGCCTTCTCCATATCTTGGGTAACCATGTTTCCTATTTCCTTCTGGAGAGAGCCCGTGTTTTCCCTAGTCCTCCTTTTGTCACTGATGTACCTATAGAAGCTTTTGCTGCCCTTGATGTCCCTGGCCAGATTTAATTCTATTGGGGCTTTAGCTTTCTTAACCTGATCTCTGGTTGCTTGGACAATTTCTCTATTCCTGTCAGGCTACTTGTCCTTACTTCCACCCTCTGCAGGCTTCCTTTTGGTGTTTGAGTTGGTCCAGGAGCTCTTTGTTCATCCATGCAGGCCTCCTGGTATTTTTGCCTGACCTTCTCTTTGTTGGGATGCACTGCTCCTGAGCTTAGTGGTAATGATCGTTGAATATTAACCAGCTTTCATGGGCCCCTTTTCCCTCCAGGGCTTTATCCCATCGTACTCTGCCAAGGAGATCTCTGAAAAGGTCAAAGTCTGCTCTCCTGAAGTCCAGGGTAGTGAACTTGCTGTGCTCCCTCCTTGCTGCCCTAAGGATCTTGAACTCCACCATTTCATGGTCACTGCAGCCAAGGCTGCCCTTGAGCTTCACATTCCCCACCAGCTCTTCCTTGTTGATGAGAACGAGGTGCAGCAGAGCCTTGTTGGTTCTTCTGTCGCTTGGAGAAGTAAGTTATCAGGGCATTCCAGGAACCTCCTGGATTGCTTCTGCCCTGCTGTGTTGTCCCTCCAGATATCAGGGTGGTTGAAGTCCCCCAGGAGGACCAGGGCTTCTGAACGTGAGGCAGCTCCTATCTGTCCATGGAGGGCCTCATCCTCTTTCGGTCTTCCTGGTCAGGTGGCCTATAGCAGACCCCCACTATAACATCACCTGTTTCTGCCCTCCCTTTAACGCTGATCCATAAGCTCTCAGTCAGCTCCTCATCCATCCCCAGGTGGAGCTCCATATACTCTAGCTGATCATTGACATAGAGAGCAACACTTCCTCCTCGTCTTCCCTACCTGTCCTTCCTAAAGAGCCTGTGTCCTTCCATTCCAACACTCCCGCCACATCTCCATGATGCCAATAAGACCATAGCCCTGCAGGTGTGCACACGTCTCTTAACTCTTGTTTATTCCTCACGCTATGTGCGTTTGCATAGAGGTATTGTAAGTTGGGCCCCTGATGAAGCTGACTTAATGGCTGGAGTGTCTGGAAGTTCTTTCTGCTGCTCTTCAGGTGCTCTCCTGCTGTCCTCTGATCCTTCTTCAGGCTCTGGGCATCTATTGCTGGTATCAGAATGGTAGGAATGGGAGGGATTGAGGTTCCTCTCCCCAGCAACTTCAGTGTAAAGCCCTGTTCACCAGCTTGGCAAGTGATGAGGATGAGGATGCTTGACTGAGGATGCTCTTCCCCTTCTCTGACAGATGGACCCCATCAGCCCCATGTAAACCAGTTTTCTCAAAGCGAGTCCCATGGTCTGAGTAACTGACCCCCTAGCTGTGGCACAGTCCTGTAACCGTTTGTTGATTCACCAGATTTGACGGGCCCCTTCAAGCCCCTTCCCTTGGACTGCGAGGACTGATGAAACAACTACCTGTGATCGAGGCCTTTACTGCCACCCCAGGGCTCTGTAATCCTTCATGATGCTCCTCAGACTGCTCCTGGCTGTATGATTGGTGCCCACATGGAACAACAGCAGTGGATCATAGTCAGTGAGCTGTGCGAGGCATTGAAATAGTCGATGTTTTAAGTTGCCTGAAGAAAAGCTTTGTTCCCAGATGGATGTGTTACGCACAACGCTAGCCGGAGTTCTCTAACAGCCTACAGGAGTTATTTTGCACTGAACTACTGTGTTTGGCGATCCAGTTCTTGGTGTGCGACTCCTTTTCATGCATGCCATGAAAAGAAAGGCGGGTGCTTCTCAAGTCTTTCATTTCTTGCAACTTGAGCGTTGAGTTTCCCCCTTAGATATTTATATTCTTTTAGTTTTGTGCTAATATTTTTAGGGGAATGGGAGAGGAATGTGGGAGTGGAGGTGAAGGAGAAGGAACTGTTGTGGCAACAACTGAATAGTAAGTACTTTGGCATTCATGATTGATATTAAAATCATTGATGCATTAAGGTATTGGATTAGAATTCTGCTTTATCATAAGGCATGTTTGGGCCCAGGGCACACTGTAAGAGGATTTAGTTAGTGGCAGACTTGCACCTGAATCCCATCTTTTGTCATTTCCGTTCCTTAAGAGCCAGGTAAATGTTTCAAACTAGTTGATTTACAGCAGAGTTCAACTATCCCAGTTAAAGCAGTGGCATTAATACAAACTCTGTGTTCCCCCCTCCCCCTTTTTTTGTTTTTGGAGTGACTTGAGAATTGCTGGTTCTGTAAAACACTGGTTTGTATAAATCTTCCATTTAGCCATAATAGAATCCATGACTACTGTAAAATTTCCCTTGGCTTACTTTATGATCCTTAAGTAATTAATTACAGATATTGTAATCTTAATAGTTTACAATGATAATAACCCATATGAACTCTAGTGTTAACTATTTAATTGAAGGGAGAGATAGAGTCGCTGGTTTTCCTGATCCAGCTTTTGAGTCAGCAACTGAGTGAGCGTGTGTAAGTTAAGAGGATCACTTTGAGAAAATAGTATGATCTAGTAGCAAGCTCCATAACTGCTGAGAACAGCGTACTATAAGAAAATAAAAAGCTATAGCTATCTGTTCTTGTAACTGGAAATCAGTGCATTGCGAAGAACTGGACTGTGCAGATCCGAAAGCAGGTTTTGATGTTCGTTTTCCTTTTGTTACTAGTAGAGTAGTAGGTATGACTGTGTGTGCACTGAGCAGTGTTGTTAATCTACGGTATGCGAAAAATGCTTCCTTTGGGAATGAAAGCTCGTGAGGGAATTGATCAAAGGTTGGCCTAAAAATGTTGTTCATAGTCATGGACTCTCCACGTGGTGAACATTCCAACTTTTTTTGATTATGGGTGAAGATGTGAATGTAATTGTAGTTTTAAGCTTTCAAAATACTGGTGGGAAAGCAAGATTAGGGTGATTGGGTTGTGGGTTTTTTTTGTTTATTTGTTTGTTTGTTTTCCCATGGAGAGAAGATCTAATGACCGATGATGTTAGAACGCAGGAGCAGCAGACTGATTCTTGCCATTTCACTTAAAAGGCAATAAATCG